AACTAAACGTGTAGAAATGTGTGTAACCAGACAATATTTCAATAGTAAACGCAACGCCCTTTTGCAAATCTAACGTTTTGTCGAAACGTATTCTCAGGGCCGCAGAGAGGGGGCAGAGAGGGGCAACTTGCCCCAGGGCCTCGGGGTCTAAAAAGTCTTATTTGATACTTAACAGTTTTCCAGTACGATAATATTTCAGGTTTTGTAGTTATCCCTGTGAAGGGAACAGATTGTCTGTTTCAGAATGGCTTTTTCTGCATTTTTGAACTTGGGTCACTGCAAATAACTTGGAAATTAATTCTGTTGGCAAATAATTGCTGAAGCCACAGTTTCGACTAACTTTCTGAAATATGATAACTTTTTATTTGCTTTCGTTAGGGCTTGTAATCGGTTTGTGTGTTTGAAACTGTGTTCTACGACATCCTACATAGGGCTGGAAACATCACTTGTACGTCAAAACATTCCATGGGTTACGCAAAAAGAATGTAGAGCAAAATTCCCAGAAATAATGAATGTGGCAGCAAATAGGTGCAGCCAGAAATTTAACTTATTGATTGCACTCTTCTTTTCTTGTATTGTTTAAGAAAAAAGATTTTGTTTATAAGAACATTCAAGCTCAAAAGTAGCCAATTTTAAGAATATCAAATGAATATTGCTCAGCCCCAACTCGCGCATTTCTGTTTCAGTTGATGTTCATAACAGGGAATCACAGAACTTACACATCTCGTTTTTTCAAAGGGGTGTATTCGCATTCTCTTATTAGATATGAAACATCGAACACACGTAATTTGTGGTTACCGGCTTTCTCAAAGAGACAATCTTAGATCAGATCCTCTGCTTTTAATCTTTCATTTCTTAAAAATAAAAGAATGGTCGTTCAAAGGAACTTGGAATTAAGGAAGCACGTAGTTTGGCCTCTTTTTCTGGAGGCTAGGCGGTGAAGGGGCATCTCCGAAGCCTTTACAGTCCCGTTATTAGGGGTTTCAGCTTCAAGGAAAACAAAGTTTTTTGATTTAACAATCTGCCAATGACTTGAGGAACGAACAAAAAGGGCAAACAGTTGACAAACTATTCTCTGAGAATGATTTTGGGGGCAGAACGGCATAACCCACTTTCTGTCAGTTCTGCTAGTTCTTCTTTCCAGCTTGCTGTAAGTACAGGGTGACTTTTAATGTCAATGTTTCCTTATCTTCCATTAAATAAATTTTCTATTCTACCTCCGATATAAGTATTTGTTTCAGTATCAAAAATTGAGGCACAATTCCGTCATATCATTCTCAGCCCAGCGGAGAAAAGTTACCTGTAACTTAGTATGACAGAAAGAAGATATAAAAACGTGACGATGCATTGTTCTTATAAGTAAAGTGCTGATAAAATACTGATAAAGTAGAGCGCAACGATAGTTTCAAACAATCTTTTTGGTAAATTCTAAGTAAGAAAGTTTTTCGAAAAGTACTCAATTCAAAAAGAGCATACTCAAAGCTTATTTTCTTTGCTTTACTTATCTAAAAAAGTGCTTCGACGTTTCCCCAAATAAACTTGGTAAACAGACTTGTCAGGCTTTATCGCTCAATGGCCAATGAAGCCAAAAAACGAGTTTTAATTTCTCAGTGGGCATGCGTCTCCATGCCCCTTCTATTGTGGTGCACCCTCCTTTTTGGTCCGCTGCTGCGCCTCTGTGTTGCTTCTAGAAACAATCTACAGCACAGACCCTTTCTTAACTTTCTAGCAAAGAGTGGAGCAATATACCAAAGAACGATTATTCATTTCAATTAAAATGGTTCCTTTCAGCTATTATCGAAGTTCGCATTGCATCCTACTATGGCAGAACTCTCTTGGAAAATTTCTCTTGGTCTCTCTTGGAGACATGACTTGGAAAATCCGATATGCACTTGCTACTGAACTGATGACAAAATTGCCTTATTTCATCTTACTCCTGTTCAATGACATTATCCTTTTTCAGAGCGGCCGTGAGCACAATTTTTATTCTTTTTTATCCCTTTCTATAACTTCTACACCAATCTCCGCTATTTATTAAAGTCATCCAAAAACGAATCACTCGAGTAGTTTTAGGAGGATATCAGTTAAGATAAGAAAACACTTTTGGAAAAACCAGAGAAAAATAAAAATAAATATGACAGCTTTGATCACAAAAGGAGCCTCGATCTCCTCTTCATGTCACAGAAGCCATTGGTTACCCAACCCAATGTGTCTCACCGCACAAGCAAATTACAATAAAGTATGTTCAGTTTCAAATCTGAACAACGTCTCTCTAAAATGGAACATTTTTCAAGGGAAACTTTCAAATTCACCTGAATATTTGAAACCTGACATGCCACTGAAAACCACTGAAAATATCTTTCACATTAATGTTGGCTTCATAAGAAACTAAGACGTTGGCGGTTCATAGAAAGAAGAAAATACTCAATTGTTGCAAGACCCTTTTGCCATTTCTAATAACTTCTTTAACTCTTAAGAAAGTGTTGCAATTCTTTTCTCCATATTAGTAATTATCCTGACATCAATGAAATGACATCTCAATGTTCTATTGCAGAATTTTAAATGATAGTTTTCAGAAAATCTTACTTCTTCCTTTGTAAAATAATTGTCATACCGTATATTAAAGCTGCAAGAAAATTTTAGTTCTGTAAGATATTTATCAAATATCTTTAAAATTGTGAATGAAGAGGAGAAAACAATACTTTCATAAGACTTGCCAAATACTAGATCTTTGAAATAGTGGGATTTGTATGTTGTGAAAAGTTTTCAGCGATGTTTCTCTGCAATATCACCCATTTTCACCTATCGACGGCCAAAAATATTCAAGCCACTGAATTTGGCTGTTCTTTACTATGAGAGAGAGTGCTGCTTTGATAGATGAGCGGGCAATGCCATTGAACACAGTCAAGCTTTTTCTTGCTAAGCTGGAGTAAGGAGCGAGATAGACCCTAGCAGTGTGAGTTGCAATAAAAAGTTGTCTCTTCCACGAACACATGACAATTAACACAAATCTTGAAATGTTGGTGCTAGTGCTAAATTCCATTTGAACTTGATCAGTCTTATATTTAGTTGTGGCTTATTTGAGTGCTACATGTGGATGAATCTACTGTTGTTAACGCACATTACTGGCAACAGTCATAAATTAGAAGGGCCATCTCTATGACAACAGTGTTCTAGACAGGCCTTCCTTTCCGGTTCACAGTAGAATAATGAATTCATTGGAACTTAGGCGTCAACAGTATTTGCAATGCAAACTTCGCTAAATAATGCAACAATTTTAGTGGTTAAACGTTGAAGTTTGTATCGAGTTTGCTAATTATGGCCAACTAGAGACAATATGGGCTTACTAGCAATGTGAACTATTACATAGAAATTGTTGAGGCTGTTTACCCAACAAATGACCACCGGGTTCACTTCAGAGACCACAGTCTCACTAGATTTTGGCTAGATACATTTCTCTTTGCTTAGGACGGCCAAGACAAGTTCATGAGCGCCAATTAATTATGATCAGCTCGGCCGCCATCTTTTTGCTTGGAGACAAGCGGCTTATTTCTATCGAAATCAAATAATGTTCCAAACGGTCTTTGCGGGCAGATTTTAAGGTCCGGATATAATCTCCAAGGGAAATACAAAAATTTTGTTTTCAAAACATTCGCATCAGATCGGCGAGACACTTCAGCATTCAGTTTAACTGTTGAAGAAGTTTGAAAGATTTGTATTATCCAGGTAGGTTTGAGTAAGAATTTCCATTGTAAAATCTAATTCTACTTCACCAAAAGAGAGACAAAGGAAACTTGCTCTAGACAGATTGACAGTGCCACATCTTGCCACAAATTCTTGTCGAACTGTCAACTTAGAATCGAAATACCAACTTACTGTCGAAATTCTTATTTTCAAGAAGATTATAGCTTTGAATTTGCTGGAGAAGAATGGAAGGTTTACTAGAAGATAGAAATCCGTCGTTTTTTGTTCTGGTCATGCACATCTTTCACGGTTTAAGAGATCTATGTGTCCAAATGTCAATTATCGATATTAAAAACCGTTTTGAAACCGATAATGCTTTTAAGATTTACATGTTTTTTTAAAGTTCTTCAGTTAGGACCGAGTTCTGAAACTATCCTTGATAAGAGTATTCTTGGAGGACTGAATTATGATGTAAGCCATTTGTTACAATTTTTCTGTGTTAAAGTTCGTTCTTGTCACTGGTTTGAAAATTTTCCCCAGTACAGCAAAAGCCCCCTACAGCTAATGATGAACACAAAATTATGCTCCAGCTATGAAAAATCCAACTTAAGAAGATTTTTGACAAAACAAAGTGATTTCTACTAACACAGTTACGTCGTTAATACCGTCGCCTTTAATAGCGTTTGAAAGTGGAAATTACGAGAAAATTATGCCTAGCTAAATGATTGTAGACTTAGAATAGATAAATCAGCCGTTTAGTATAAAATCAACTCCAAACTCGGAATGTTTTGGAAATATCGTATGAAGTAAGCATAAAATCCGGTTAATTCTGATATGCTGTATGACGTTAGAGTTAAGCTGGTGTACAATCTGCTTTAACACTGAGCTGTCAAAATGCAAGAATACTCTTAGTACCTAGTCAAGGGTTTATGAAAAATCATGCAAGCTTTAGATGACTGTCTCCTGATTTAAGCTTTAGATGACTGTCTCCTGGCTAAGTCATGTTTCAGGTATTTGGGAATTAGCTGATTTAAAAATCCATGAGCGCAAATTTGATTTGCTTCTATCCGTAACAAATCAAACAAGCGAAGCAGTGATAAAAGATACAAGGATAAATTGGTCTTTAAAGGGACACATCTGAGACATCATCCGACCATTCTAATAGTCACTGACACTTTTTCACTGGTACTTTTGCATTGCACCAGAATGATACCTTTTTGAACAAACAATTCATCTTCACTACTGCTCTTAAACCTTTGCAATCAGTTTAAAATTCACTGACAACCAATGAGAAATGGCAAATTACAAATCAATGAAATAAAGGTCGGTGGTATAAATTATGTCTATAAAATGTCATAAATTCAAGATTGCATGTACTTCGACATAGGCTGGTACATTAAACGCAAATGTTGCGAATCTAGTGGGAGAAACATCTGATAAAATTCAGGATGCTGGTATTCTATTGTGCTATGTATTTCATTGGTTTCTTCCTATTCGTCGAGAAATGAATCTGATTCACCACATGCGACCACAATTTTCATTGCCAAGCCACATTATGAAAGAACTTCACCTTCGTGGTTACTTGCTTCAGAATTTAATGGAATGCATTCAAACTGTTTTGATTTCCAAGTTTTCGAGTACATTTATTGCTCGCCTATTTGGGTGATCTTGCTATTACTGATATTAACAACATCTAATGAGGCTTATTCATCACAGCAGTTTCATCAAACCGTGATCTACTCGTCGATAAGGTAGGTCGTTTCTAGCCAGCGGTTGCTCAAATCACACCCCTTGTTTCTTCCTATCACCTGTTTACCGATATCGTTACTTAATGTGCATCTTTCTACACTCATTCGATGTCAGAAGCATCACTTGATTTTGGATTCTTTGATTCTCTTAGGTATCCACAGTATCGAGAATATAATGCATAATTGCTTATTCAAAACTTTCTAATTTGTTTACATTTGAATTCTGATAAAACAGACGACAGGGCATTATACATCTATGGTAAAAAAGATTACGTCCCTTTATTCACTGCTGTTTAGTGATTTTGGCTCTCGTATATACCTTTCAAAATCATTATCTTCAGATCTTTTCAAATGTATTGAAGAGATGTTGGCTGTCGTTATTTAAAAAGGTGTGCATTGCCGCCTGTTTTTTAGTACATGTACCTTCTTGATATACGATCTATTATTTGACACAAGTATAAAATTGCATAAATCGTATAACATTGTATATCGTAACACAATTCCTTTACTACTTTCCTTCATATCTCCAGAGTCTGAAGTTTAAGAGCAAAGTTCTATCTAATGTCTAAGATTTGGTAGGTTTAAATTCGTCATAATAGGTTGAATCTAATTAAAGATTGATGTAGAAGAAATTGAGGGTAAGAAAAAAATAAGCTATTAAGACTGTGCCATTGATTGATTCTACCGTTCTCTGAATATTTTCCTTTGAAATAATGAACATGTCAAAATCAAGCAAAGTATACATTATGTCGTTAATATTAGCCATCGATCACTGAATCTTTCCATTCCTAGGGAATTCATGTTTTCTCTTCGCATGGTGATAGGCATTACACCAAGGGTGAAAATGAAATATAAAATAAACCTGTCTCTGTTTGGCTAATGTGCCAAAATCGGTTGCCAGGCAACAATATATGAATGAGAACTCTTGCATGTTTAAGACATGTGCTCATGACATATATTTAAATTGCTTGAGAGACAACGTCAGTACTGCACTCTATTTTGTAGATTGATAGACTCTTCATCTACTCTGCCAATCGACTTTTTCCTTCAGCAGATACAAATGTGACGTGCTTTTTCAACTAAACCCCAGTAAAAAGCTTAATTTTTAAACGCAGATGAATGTCAGCTTGTAGTTGGCGAAGCGTGTAGCTGGCGGGTCCTTGATTCTGCCCTCAAATGAAACGGAGCTTCATTCGCGAGGAGACAGAATTTATTCAATAGTAAATTCTTTTTTCTTGCATCGGGATTAGTTATCTGTAGATCTTAAAGGATGTTAAACATGCCATATGGAAACACAAGCATGCAAAAGCATACAATTGACATACTTGTCTTGGCATGCTTGCCTTTCATCAAGATCATTTCTTGTCCTTCTCTTTACATATCCTTAATGCACTTTTGATTAATGCTCGAGTTACAAAATGTTTGTCATGGCATTGCTAGTTAACTTACGTTCTGTTCATCTTTGTTAACAAATACCCTCATGGAAATACCAGTGGCTAGATATTTTTTCTGTTAGAGAAGCGGAAAAGAATGTTCTGATGAGGCTCATGTAGGGAAAATGACCATAGTTGCCACGACTACTTGATAGCCTAACACTCCTAACTGTTTTATTGATGAATGCAAACGACAGAGGCTGAAACTTTCTGACATGACACTTTTATCCTTTATCATGAAAGCAAATGCACAATGAATAGACATTGACAATATTTCTATTTATTTAGCTGTACCGAAAAGCTTTAATGTGTAGAGCCATAGGTTTTGACCCCTTGTAATGAACAGAAAGTATCCATTTTTCATTAGAACGAATGACTCTATATCTGCTTTTGTTCTGGCTGACAATCGCATATTCAACGGGTAAAGTACGAACGTCCTTAAAAGCAGCTTTCTATCTTAGTAACGCAGGAAACCAGGCAACGACCTTGCATTCGGGTTTGAATTATAGCAGATTTTAGTTGCCTTATCTCTTAACTGGTCTGACGTAAATGACTTCCGTTAGGAAATGCCGTCTCACACACTCAGCTGATAACCTTTTATACTGAAGTTGACATTTCTGTTTTCAAAACAACTCATTGAGATGAAACACCCCATAGACATTAAACAGCCTCATTAGCTGATTTTCTTCTCGAAGTTATCCGGCTTGATACCTTTCATGTACGATTATTACAAAACAAACAAACTTTTTATTTAATATTTTCATAGCCGCGTTTTCATGGCAAAGATTACATAAATTTATTTGAACAAGAACATGGCATAGACAGTATGAAGCCATCCTAGGTTTGCAGTAACCAGATCAGTGACCAGATGTTCTGGTTTTCCACTTTATTCTTCAGTCTTGATTCTATCTTCTATTAGTATATTTTCTATGGCGCCATTTTGGCCCTTGCCTCCTCTTGCCATAGACCAATTCGACTTACGGCCTCGTTTTGAAAAAATCTTTTGTACAAAATTTTTAACCTCAGATTCAGATTAGGAGCAATGATTTTAGTCTACTTGGAAATTTTCATTATGGTATTGCTCATGATATTTGACTGTCATTGGGGACTAGGGGGTAAAGTTTTGCGGTCAAATCCCTTGCAATTTTTCAAACGTCATTTCTCTATAAAATCTAAATTACAACACAAACAAAATGAAAAGTTGTATCCAGCTTAAATCTATTGTGATAAAACCAAATCTGAGCTTAGAAAAGTCGTATAATTAAAATTGGAGAAATTTCCAAAACGAGGCCGTAAGTCGAACTGGTCTATTTCATCCCCAGAACGACACTGCGTGTGATCCTTTATGTTGCGACTGTCCATCTTACTTTGCCTGAAACCGATTAGAATAATTTGTTTAATTTTCTACTCTCTAGAAAAAACTTTATTTCTCTTTATTAAATTTATTTCAACATTTTGTGCGTCTCAAGGAGAAGGGGGAGACTCTCATAAAGATTTCCCTATGGAAGACATTTAAATAGAAATTTCCCAGAGAAATTCAAATACACTTAGCTTTATGTCGATGGAGTTCATTTCTGGTTATTTAAAATACAGTGAAACCCCTTATAACGCTCACCTCTCTGCAACGGCCACCTCCAGATCTATGGCCAGTAGAGAAATCCCGGTTGAATTCATGGTCAAGCTATCATTAAAAGGCCTCCGCACAGCGGCCACTAACCTGGATACCAGAGTCTCCATTTTTTCGTCTCAAAAATAAAGTTGAAAACTAGTCACAGAAAAGTTTCATTGACTAGGATTGCTCATTGTTGGGTTACAGAATCCACAAAAGCCTAAACAAAGTCCAAAAACAAGTCAGTTGTACAAAGCTTGAGGGGTGGAGGAAGCTGTACTTGCAGCAATTTTTCATCTCCTCCACTCCGAATGCTCAAACCTGTTCCACTTAAATAATTGATTCTTTTACAGACAGAAGATCAAACATAAAAGTCACCAAACTCGGTTTATGCTTGAAGAATGAGATGCGGGATCTTTCATTTATTAAGTAATTTTAATCGCGAAAGTAAATCACCCATATATTTGATGAGACTTGTCGTTTCAATTACTGTTGAAAGCGATTGCAGGAACATTGATGTAAATTCTTCAGAGGCTCATGATTAAATAATTGAAAGAATGCTTAAATTAAAATGAATGGCTAAGTTATCCTAAGGCAGTTACAAAGAAGATGGCTATTAATATTTATTGATAAAAAATACTTGTCAGTGTGTAATTTGCATGTATTTGGTGATTAAATTGTTGATATAAAATTTCACCTAGTAATCGTTATGAAAACAAGTTGAAACAAAAATAGACTTAAAACAGAATGGTATAGAATGAATGGTGAAGGAATTTCCATAGAGGGCAAGCCATATCATTGTTCTCAAACCCTTATAGAATGCAGTTTGAGATATTTTAAAATAAACTAGCCGTCACTTTTTAACCCCAGAGGAATTAATGATCATGAGATGTTACTTACTAGTGTTACAAAAAAGCCTACAAAGAAACTGGGAGCTTATGGGCAAATGATGTCTGTAGTTTTGGCTATATGCCATTAAATTCAAGATAAAAATAGGTCCATCTTGGTCATTAGATTAAATAGTTAAAACCGGGTATTTCCCCAAAGTCTCAGACATCTGCATTTAATCAGGCCTCGTCCCAATGTTGGGTCTCGCGGCCATACTGTGTCACGTCTTGCGTTTGAGATCTTGTGTTAAACTTCTGAGAATGTGCCTCTTCGTTCCTGCCGTTCCATATTGATGTGATTTCAGAAAGACCTATTCACTACACCCTTCATATTTGCTTCACAGACTCTCCTTCTCAGTAATTTTTGTGCCAATTCATAGTCTTATAATGTGTATCCAAGAAAGTATTATCTTAATATTACGCGTCCAGCCTTTTTTTCTTGATATTCGTCTTTCAACAAACGACTTGCATTTCCATGCATTTATTATTTTCAAAGATCAAATTTTTCGTAGCAAACAAAAATCCTAAGAATACCCTTATTTCTTTTTTATTTGGAGTGAGACATTTGCAAATTTAATGGCTTTGAAAAATTGTACAGAATTGAGAAATGTCTTGAAAGAAAAAGCAAACGTTTTAGAGCATATTTATGCTTTTCGTCTGACACTCTTCAAAGTATAAAACGTCAGAACATAGATCGAAAACTCTAAGGTAAGGAATATATATACCCAGTTGTGGATCGAAATAGGCCAATCAGAAGCGCGAGCACATGACTGTTGAGGTTGTCCTATCAGTGCCCCTTGCCTGTTGCCTACTGAGAATGTTACCAATGGAGTCCTAAGGTGAAAATGAACTCCTTCTGTCTACACAATCGTGACTTTTAATGTTTATGTATGTGTAGTGAAATGGCATTCCTTCTGTTCAAGTTCGATTCCAATATAAGTTTAATTCTTCGCTTGGATTCCTCCGTGAATCTCTCTTTCATTTACTTCTCCTTTATCCCATCTAGTTCTACTATACCCAAGTACTTGTAATCTTCTACCTTGACGCCTTTCATCTTCTCTCCATCTGGTAGCTCAATTCCATCACAGGTGACCATCTTTCCACGCTTCATGATATCATTTTTCTATACCTAATTGCATGCCAATGTCACGACTAAACTTATGAACTGTTCATCCATATATATGAGCTGATTTACTTTTGGCTGGTTCTTTCCCAAACTATTTCCAGCTTTCATCTTTCTCAAAATCAGTGACAATGGAATAAGACAGATAACTAATATGAATGGCGAAAGGCTATCTCCTTGAAATACTCCACGTTTGATGTTGAAATCCCCTAATACTTCATCTCCTGCGTTCAACTGTACCATTTCGTCATACTCTTTTCAAGGACGTTCGTGATATTATCAGCTGCCCCAACCAACTGCAGACCCTTTAATATCCACGAGTGTGGTATCATGTCATATGCCTTTTTATATAGTCCACGTACGCCATAGCTAAGTTGGTATGTATTCTTTTACAGTTCTAAAGTACCATTCTACCAATCAGTAGTTGATCTTTAGTTCCGCGTGTCTCTTTACGACAGCCCTTCTGTTCTAATGGTAACATATCACTAGAATCTACATGCTTATACAGCTGGCCAGAAAGCATACCCGTTAGCAAATTCCACATTAGTGGTAAACATGAAATAGGCTTCAAGTTACTCGCAACATTTCCCTTATTTCTGTCCTTCACACATAATACCGTTCTTCCATACGTTTCAACCGCATTCAACTGGCAAGCAATTCTATCGTGTAATGATGACACGTTTTTCAGCCAATAGCCTTGTACTCCGTCGGGTCCAGCTGCTTTACAATTTGGGTCTTTTCCCGTTTGCTTTCTTACATCCTGGACAGTAATTTTCACATCATCCTGTTTATTGAGTTTCCTAATTCAGTCTCGATCTTTCGTAGCCATTCTGGGTTATTGTTATGTTGCATTGGGTTGTCCCGTATTTCATTCCAGAACTTTCTACTTTCGTCCGCATTTGGTACTATGTTCTCTTTAACGATTTCATCATTGGGTTCCATGAAAACTCGCTTCTAAATTATTTTATCCAGTTTTCATATCTGTCTATCTTTGCTGCTTTAGCTGTTATTCTTTGCTTAAGCTCTTCCATAACAACCTTTACCCCTTTCTTCTTCACATGATGCTTTTTGAAGATCTGTTCTAATTTCTTTACATCTTTTATTTGCCCTCTCGCATAACGGTCTAATTTGCAAACAGTTTTCCTCAACTTATTAGTATCCCATTGGATCCTCCTTTTCCAAAACGGCTCTTGAGACACTTTATCCTTTCTCTGTTTCAACCCTAACCGTTGGCTCACATAGACCGATATAGCATTTATCAGATCGTTTGTTTCTGTTACACCATCTGTTACAATATATTTTAAAACATTATTCATATTGCTAGTTATCTCCCTGAGCTTTTTCCGATCTGCGTTTCTAAAAGAGACATTCGTGGTCTTTTCCTTCTTTTTAGACAATTCACATATACTCTTTATCATTTCCAGCTGTTCTTCCGTTAAGTCTGACTCATATTGATTCAATATATGGATTTCTGATGTTGCTAATACTGTTTCACCCTGCGTTGATCCATTTTCAACTTCCAGTTGTCCTGGTCTCTCTCGTTCGCTAGTTTCGACGTTTCCTTGTTCTGACAAATTACTGTCTTGTTGTTCATCTACTTGTATTTCTTCATTATTTCTGTTCTTAAATTTCCTCCTGATTTCCTCTGGCTCAACTGTGCGTAAGTACTCATTTTTCTTAATTACCCTGACTTGATATATAAGCCTTACCGCAGATAGAGACTTCAAGCAACCCTTTGTCATCCCAATTTCTTTTCATCCTCTTCATAAAACCTCTCCTCTCTGGTTCACCTGCGTAGTGACATTCCATTACAATCTTATTAAACGGCCTCCAGTTTATTCCTTCTCCTCTTCGATTGGCAGTAGCTGAATAGCGTTGACAATGGCTTGAGCTTTGTTAGACAATGGCTTGAGCTGCCAATAAGTGCTTCACTAAGTAGCCTCGTCATTCTAAAATCAACGTTTGGCATCAATTTCATTCTTCCATCTACCAAGTTCTTGCAATGCCAAATAGTTATTCGCAACTCTTTAAGACTGTCCCCAAACCAAGAGATTCGCTCTTTATGGAAAGATTGTAGCACTGGTACAAACCTACAATATAACGTTTATCGCAACACCAAACAAGTTTTCAAATCCATCCAAAGTGAACACGAAAACTGCATTGAAAACGTGTTCTAGTTTACCATCAAATACCTAAACACTTACAACTTTACCATCAAATACCTAAACAACACTCTTGCTACTAGGAAAAACCTCTGCAAATGGTCAATTACTCAGTCATCTGCCTGCTCTTTCTGTCTCCAATCAGAATCATTACAGCACATAGTCTCTAGCTGCAAATTATCTTGAACACGGTAGGTATACCCGGAAACATGATTCTGTACATCTCTATTTGGCTAAAACCCTTTCAACATTGAGAAACAGCTCACTTTACGCGGACCTGCCTTCATTTCTTTCACCTTCTTTAATCACAGGCGACTCCTATCGACCATATCTTGTCTTTTTAAAAAAAATATTATTGTTATTATTATTATTACTATTATTATTTTTATTATTACGGCTAATTAAGTGATTCACAGACATCTAGATGTTAATTGGTCCGGATAATATAGGAGGGAGCAGTCAGCAACAAGCTGACAAAGGTCCCATTCTGTCATCTCAAGTTAATTACATAGACAATGTCTGTCTCAAAATCCTGGCTGTTCCTAGCAGTGCTGTCTTTTGTATCACCTGTAACTTTACATAAATTCCGATCTTTTCCATGTGCTCTTCAAAACAATATGATATACATCCTAATGCCCCAATCACAACAGGGATGACTGTTACCTTCTTCATATTCCACAGATTTCTGATTTGCTCCTTTAATGGTTGATATTTCTCAATTTCTTCTTGTTCTTTACCTTTTACCCTATTATCACCAGGAATGGCAATATCGATTATCTTCACACCTTTTTTTTGTCAACAACAACAATGTCTGGCCTTCTTGTTTCAACAACCCTATCACATTGAATCATAAAATCCCACAGTAGCTTAAACTCGTGATTCTCTAAAACTCCTTCGGGTTTCTGTTCATACAATTTTGTGGCTCTTGCCACATTGTCATGTCGTCTTTTATATTCTGTTTGTGCTTGTTTAGCATATTTCCTCACCAGATGACTAACTGTTTCTCCCTTGTCAACGCACATTCTACATAAAGGCGTATCGCTTGTTTTATCAATGTAGTGCTTGGTATAATTAGTGCGCAGCGCCTGCTCCTGTGCACTACACACTAATGCTTCAGTGCACCCTTTCAGATCTCTGTTCCTTAACCATGACCAGCTTTTTTCCCAATCAATTCCGTCAGTATTCTTAGTAAATTGCCCATGCATCGGCTTATCTTTCCATCGTTTTTCCAATTGCCTTTTTGCCTCATATTTATGTTCATTTGGTTCTACTGCCTCCTCAGTATTCATTGTCCCCAGGTTTCTTTACTTTTGACATAATATTGCCTCTTACATGTTTAACATACCAAGCCAGGTTGTTTATTTCATTTTTAATAAAATTCTCACAACTTATCAGCCCCCTGCCACCCTTTTTCCTGCTAACATAAATTCTTGCTACATTACTTCTAGGATGAAGTTCTTTTTTTCATTGTCATCAATTTCCTGGTTCATATCATTATTATTATTATTATTATTATTAGTATAGCAATCTTATCAAGGAACTGAACCCTGCCTATAAACGTGTTACCTTTGTTAACCTTTCTATGAGTATCCTTGGCATTCCTCATGTGGAAACCTCATCTACCTCTCTCTCCGACATGCTACATCAACTCAATTTTGACTCAAATCAAACTAAATCCATCTTGATTAAACTCATGAACATTTCTATCCGCTGTACCTACTCTACTATATCTTCTGTCGTCGCAACAAACCATGGCTAAGCCCCGAACTGATTGACTTCTAAATATTGTAATGCAGATAAGCAAATTTTATGATGCCTGTAAAAGCGAGTCGTAAAATCTAAAATGTATTCAATGAAAATGAGATGTTGAAAAAAAATCATAATTGATACATGAAATCCTGAATTATTTCGAGGGGTTGAGCTTCAGTGCCAAGAATTAAGGTTCTTATGTAAAGAACGTACTTCTCTTTGCTAATTAACCTGATTTGCCCGTGGAAAACTTTCTATAGCCTCCTGGGCTATGGATGGATGGTGGTAGGCGGTGTATAAACGCGTCATAATAACAGTAATCATAATGTTGAAAAATTATTGTTAAAATCATAGTGCCTATGCTAGATAAAGTGAACGTCTTGCCATCTTTAGGTATTCCATACTTTACTGGTACTAAGTATTCTGAAATGAGCAACAAATTAAGATACATAATGTGGCAATAGACTGTCGCAAAGAATGCTGGGGCGATTCATACCATAGTCACATGACAACACCAATGCTCATGCTCTTTTCACAACACTATACCGGATTCGTGCAAGCAGAGCCTATTAGAATTATGCTTGCCCTATGAAGATAAAAGTTGCAAACATCAGTTTCTGCGCTTAACCTTGGGTGGGAAGAATCCCACGAAACGATGCGAAATGGGAAAGATTTGTGGATACAGAATAAAAGCGGTTGATAAAATATAACTCTTTCTTGTTTCGAAAGCTAAAACATTAGGCACCTTTGACCCAAAGTTGGCAAATATTAGGGAGATGAATCAATAACTGGAATTGCTAGCAGCAAATGTAAACATGCTCAACAAAGTGAGATTTCCTAATAAATCTTGAGCAGCTTGTATCGTTTCAAATGTCACTGTGAAATTAGCCTGAATAAATGTCATCAACATTTCATGTTTTATCCTTCAATTTACAAAGAATAATACTAGTTGCAAAAGGATCAAGGATTTCTATCAACTGCTCAATATTTTGTTTCTTGTTTGCAGTTGAGACGCTGTCGCGAGGAAAAGATTCATTGGGACTATAAAGAGAAGTTCATTCTCACTGTTTGATTAGCCCAAACACAGGCGGCACTTTAAATGGTGAGTTTTTCTTTACATCAGTCAGTAGTGTGCATTTATTACTTTGAGCATAACGAACCTTTAACTTTTTTTTCCTTTATGTGAATATGCATTTTGAAATTTGATCATTGCTTTATGATAAGTTTTAGTTTAAAAGTAAACTTAAAATCAACTTAAGTATTATCATACTACATCATCTGCCATGAGTCCCTAAAAACGCGTATGCTGGGAGATGGCACCAATTGCTGGTCGTCGTCAACCTACAATTGTTGGTTTGCTTGGTTGTACTCCAGGGTTGACTCCCATTCCGATATATCATACTTCGAGTCCGAAAATTCGCATCTGCAAGGACAAATTTCTGTATGAAAAAAGTAAGATAATTTTCGATAAATATTTTGGAAAATGTTCCTGATAATTAATTTGAAAAAAAATGTTCGAGAATTTCCAGATAGACACAACACTTGCAATTTATTACGTAATGAAAACATTTCATCCAAAAGCCCTTTTCCTGTGGTCCCTACTTGAGAGAGAGCTTATCTTGTTTAAATTGTTCCAACAAAAAGCATCCTTTTTTACAGCAGTTTTCATTATATCTTTCTGTTAGCTAGCCCTTTGCTAACATAAATAATCTTTCATTTTTCATGATGCTGTTCCTTGTCAAATTTCTTTAAGTTAAAAAAGCACAGAAAAGTCTTCTTTAAATCTCTTGCCTTGTTTCGGCACAGCTGAAATATTTCCCAAAGAAGCTAAAAGATAAAAATATGTTTCCAAGGAAAGATTACCATGTTATGATATGCAGAATTTTCTTGCATTGGTGTATGGAATGAGGCTTCGGGGGTATGGGGAAATACGATATCGTCAGCCTGTCAAGCTGGGTGTTCAGGTTAAAAAAGCCTAGATATATTTTGATCTTTCATCAATGCTTAGCCTCTGCTACTTTCCTTAAATGTTGTATATTTGTTAAGCAAAAAGGCATCATGATACGTCTGTCGTAATTCGCTAAGTAAATGCTTAACAAACATTTTCTCACGATGGTCGATTTTTTGATGATATTTTGGTTTTTAGTTAAAAATATCTGGGAAAGGGGCTTAAGTCATACAATCTAAAATTAGGCATTGCTCCATTTTGAACGGCTCTCTTTGGTTAGCTGTGTATTTGTGCATCTGTGTCACAGATTTCTAAATTATACGGTTCAAGATATTCAAATATAGAACGAAAGGTTTTCACATTGTCGTTTGTCATTTTCACAGTTCACTGTCCAAAGCAGCGTTTTTTCATTTATTTTCATTTTTTGTTTATTTGAACAGAGCTAAGTACATTCAGTAGATTTAACAGCACAAATTTTGAATTTTCCTTAAAATTGTATAAAAAATAACTAACGTAATTGAAGAGAAAATGTATGAATAAAAGAGACTCGGAAGTTAAATGTATGTGTTAAATGTTGATTTAAAGTTAAATGTTGATTTAAATTTTCAACCTCGTTGATCTTTCAAAGCTGTTAACGAAGTTTCAGGGTTGAATTCGTATCTTAACTGGTTCGAAACAGAAACGCTTTGGTAGGCAAAGGCCCGTTGCCCATTTGATGTCTTCGACCGACTAAGATCAGTGCCGTTATAAAATAATATCCAATTGCAGGAATAAGACTATTTGTGAAAAATTGACTGCATACAGCGAAGCGAACGACCATTCAAGGATGTATATACTATAGAAGCTGTCTCGAAATCAATCGTTTCTATGACTGTAACCACCATGTCAAAAAGACATTTGAAACGACACAAGCTGCCTTACTTTTGCAGCTGTTCCTCAAAATAGTATTCCCCACACAGCCTCAGGCAGAGCTGCAAAATCTATAATCCAACTTATCCAATGGATAATTTTTATTAATTATTGAGAAAGATATCTCGGAAACTTGAGGATTACTTTTCGTTTTGAAATCTTTTATCTTCAAAATTTAACTAAGCCTAACTTGTCACTCATTCTATTATTACCAAAGAAAGCTTGAATTTTCTGGACATCCTCCTTAGCATCTCTGGACATCCTACCAAATCTGGACATTTCTGGATATCCTACCAAATCTCCACGTCTATTTACTAGAAACCTATTGGTGCCCATTTCCTCTTTAACTACGATTAATCACATCCAAAGAAATGCAAAGACTCCATACCTTACTTCCAACGAGTTCTTTCAAAAGCAGAAGCAATGTCTTCTTTTTAGTAAAAGGAATTTTAATGTTGGTTTTTCTCTTCCCGGAATGGAAAATGGTAAACAGTAAACTGAAAACGGTAAACGTTAAAAGGTTAACGGTTAACGGTGAATGTTACCGAAAGTTTAACCGGCAATCAATGTCAACTGCTGATGGTGTCTTTTTTGCGAAGCGTTACTAGAAATCTTTGAGTATGCATTTGCTTTAGAGAAGAAGAATGAAATACCAGAAAAGAATGTGGGTAAAAAAGTTTTTCCAAAGAGAAAGCAACTGGGCGATTTCCATCCTGAGACGTGTTGCTATGAAAAGTACCAGGGGGCTCTGGTGAAACAATTCTCAAAAATGTAGCTCAGAGTACAAAATGAGTTACTTTCTTGTCTTTCTCAAGGGGTCTCAGCCCTCTAGAGTCCCCTAGCTCTACATCTCTGGATTCACTCTCTTCTTCAAGAAATGAGACTTTTTGACAGGGAGCATATCTCAAGTATTTCAGAATGACTCGGTACGAAGCACTTTTGCAGCTTTTTGCAGAAATTACGGCGTTTCTGATTGGTTTGGAACTCAAAAGGTACGGATCCCGCGGAAAAAAGTTCCCTTGCTGTCTTTCAAAAACATCAAACAACAAACAAACTAGGGATGTACCGGATATCCGGTAGGCCGGATAATCCGGCGCCGGATCGCTGATTTTTTGAAAATCCGGTTCCGATTTTTGAAAATCCATGTCAGTTACCGGATTTTCCAGAACATTAATCATAACTAAGAAAATTTTGAAAACCAAGTCAGACTCCCTTCATACAGTGATTAAAAATGGATTTTCCAGAACTAAACAATATCGACGATAAAACAAGCGCCTTGAAAACAGATTTGAAATGAAAGTGCGCGTCATCACAAAACAGGAAGACTGGATGATATAATTCACAGATTTGGTCCAGGGTTGCCAGATCGGCTTTTTAGGCCAAATTTTTCACTTTTGGTTTTTAGATTTAGATTGCCTGGAAAAATTGTATTTTGCTTACTACTTAAATTTGACCTTGTTGGCCTTTTCAGCAGACGTCCAAAATTAATAAGTAATTACTACATTCATAGAATAATTAGTAGTTAACTACAAAGTGTTAAACAAATTTCAAATTTTATCACCTAACCTAAATATTATCTTGATATTAGCAAAGGGTTTTGGAAAAAAGTATGATTCTTATCAAAGCTAAGAAATTATCTAACAGGCACAAGCGTAGAAATATAACCAGTGCCTGCTCGATGGATTCTTGAGAAAGTTTTTGATTTGGCCTTTTTATGAGCATTTTGGCTTAAATTGCTCACCAGTCTAGCCTCCGTCTGTAAATTCAATCTGGCAACCCTGAATGGGTCTCTTTGACCTTCTCGCTATACATTTTTTCGCAAAATGGCTCAAAACTTTTTATTACTGAAAATTCTATAAATGGTCAGATTATCCGGTAGAATCCGGCCGGATATTCCACGAAGAAATCCGGTAAATCCGGTTCCGGCCGGATTCTGAAAATCCTGATCCGGTACACCCCTAAAACAAACTCAAAAACATCACAACAACCTGGCTACCTTCCAATGAAAAAGATTGCCTCTGTCTGACCAGCACACACATTAACCAATTGACCACTATAACCGATCATAACTAATTCTTCAACGTCAGATCAAGCTTTACCTGCTCTTCATCCAGTGTGATTTTTTGGCATCATCTGCTAATTATCTGCATCTATTTCCAATTCAATCTTTTTACATCGGCAAAACCTCCGGACAAGATTACAGCCGTTTTCAAGAACTTTTAAGTAATGTAAGAAACAAGTTCCATCTTGAAGAGGACCTGCAAAACGATGCTGATAGCAACACAACCAAACATTGTCCCTAGATCCTCCAAACCAACCAAACATATGCAAATACGGATACATTGAATTTTGCTGTGTGTCGAACCTTTTCTTCTCTTTGCTCAGCTCGTTTCTTTGCGAGTCACTGCGTACAAGGTCGAAATTTCTGTTTCTCGCTGTCTTATTGATTTTTTGGAACTTAATTTTTTGACTTATTATATTGTCATCATTTACGTACTACATAACATATTTTATTCAATTTATAAACGCCGGTCATCAGGTGAAGCTAGTCTTGAATAATTCATCATTTTGCTCATTCGTTTTATGAAATTTATACAGCTGATTCAACAATATCTTCACACTACACATCACTTATTGTGAAATAACGTATTTTACAGGGCAAAAATTAGTTCAGAAAGCAGACCCTAGTTCGCAATTTCGTTCTTTAATCAAGGTCCATCAACTAATGTCGCATAGATTAGCGGCAACAAGCCCGCAACAAGCAACTACACAACAACGACTTGGTTCGACGACAACTTCAAATTAAAAAAAAGCGGACTAATAACGACCAAAGTAGAGGTGACACGATGATAACCAAACTGGACTGACGCAAACATTGAGAGACATCTTTATTAACGATAACGAACCACAAACACGATATACGAAAAACAAACCTAGTTATTTAACAATATACATCTAGTTCCAAAAATGACGTATTACAATTTTTTCAGTTTTCTTCATTTTTTTAAAGAAAATTCAGTTTTTTTACGTACGGACAATTGTTATTACGACCTATCCTCACATATTCTATGCTTTTATAGTTCTTTTTGTTGAACTCAGTTTAGCCAATCTGCAATTTTATAGACTTCTAACGGTGTGGTTTCAAGTCTATCATCCGGGTACATGCCTGACCCCAGATGCCCCACATGTCTGGCCTGAAAAAAAATTATCCTTTTAGCCTCAAGAGGTGAAGCTGTTGGGAGAGG